TTCTCTCTCTCTCTCTCTCTCTCTCCTTCCTCTCCCTCCCTCCTCTCTCTCTCTTTCTCTCTAAACAGTGATTTGATTTATGAAGTTAACATTTTCAAATTTGTGTTTAGGATCCACTTCTATACGGATACCTTCTTGTGTGAGAGAGAAATGCCCTTATAAAGTTGAAAGATAAGTTGGCTTAGGCTTATGCCTTCGGTAGGGTCTCCCATGCCTCCTTCAGGCTCTTTACCTCTTAGGATCAGACAAAATGTGTCCACGGGTAGGATGAGCAAACGATGGTAGAGTACTTCCCAAATCTTCTTTTCGCAAAAGCCTAGCCATGGTAAACAGCTGAGCTAACAAAAAGGAAGGATGAATAGCGTTAACTCATCATCCAGTCCAAGATTAATTACTGGCCTGATGTAAATCTTTTGAAAGAGACTTATATCGAACCGCACCATTAACTAAGCTTTCTTGTTAGCATCAATAAAACTTATGAAAATATTTCACTCACTAGCTCAATTACTTTACTCACTATCAAATATCGATGAATCATTTAACATATGGATTAGCATTTATACTTCAAAAATAATCGGAAATTCGAAAATGAAAAACGATTGTATTACATAAAATTAATTTTAAAAGATTTCATAACCTTGAGAAGAAATAAATCTCACTCCAACTTGCAGGAATAACTTGGACTGATCACGGTTGACACTTCTTGTGAAAGACATATTTGCATTTCTCTGCCAACAAATAAGCTGAAAACATTTCTTCAATCATTTACTAAATTTATATTCATTAGTTCTCATTATATTCATTATCGTTTATTTAAGCTATTAATAGCTCATATACAGATCAACACAGACATACACAGACACACACAGACACACGCACACACACACATACAACAAATCATTTTATTTACATATGTCATATGAGTACGTAACAAATACAAGATATTCAGGTATAAAATTACGGTAAAAACCGGGAAAAATACGGGAAAGAATGCGTATCACACGTGTAGTCATTTCTGTGGTCATTGGTTGTGTGGTCATCGTGTTGTCATTTCGTGTGTGGTCATTTCTCCCTTACCTTCAAACTTTTCAACACTTTTGGATTTGCTTTCAACAAGTAATGTTCTTTTATGAATAGTAATTTGTTGAAATACAGAATTGTTCGTTTTGCAGTAAGGAAAGAAATTTTACACTAGGTAAAAGGATTGCAAGGTGATGACCTATTGGTCATTTTTTTTGCAAAGTGATGACCTATCGGGTTAGGATCTAAAGAAGATTTGACCACTAGGCTTTCGATAAAGTTGTAAGCAGACGAGAATAATAGATTGCTAGCTAGCCAACATTTGAAAAAACACACACACAACAGGGAGTCTAGGGGAAATGTGTTCGTCGTTACATAGCCTAGAGCTCATATCCTTCAAAACAAGCATTTTTGGGATAATTAAAACTCATAAATTGCAGTTTATCTGCGCTCAAGGAAATCTCGGGAATAAACTGTGCCCATAAATCATAAATTTGCAATATATATCTTTAATGTAAAAACATGAAAAGCATCCCTGAAAAACCAATTTCTCAACAAAAAGGTTACTAAAAAGGAACATAAATAACGAATCATTAACACATTCCACCAGTAATTTACATGTTTACTTCTAATATCGCATAAAAAGATGTTTATAATTTGAATTCCAATATTGATTACGTAGAATAAGCGTTATAAGCTGAGTTTTGTGCATCCAACGAGGAATCTCGGCAAAAAGACTGCCATTCAATGAGGAATCTCGGGAAAAAGACTATCCACCCAACCGACTTACATTTCTTCTCATTATGCTACAGTCAACTGATTTTTAGGGTCAACTAAATGTGTGACACATATCATGACAATATTATTACACAAACAGAATAATGAAAGAGAATCAGGTGATAGCTGAGAGAGAAAAAGATAAATAAAAGAATGGAGTAGAATAAAGGAAGAATAGGACAAGAGAGAATAGAGAAAAGCTAAAAAGAATGAAATTAAACGAAAGTTTTGCTAATATATGCTCTGAAGTCAAACCTAAGAGGCAATTAATCGAACAGCTGAGTGATATTGTTGATGTATAAAGGCGAAGGTATGCAATGATACCAAACAGAAACTGCTGCTATTCACCGGTACTTCTCATCCGGATCGTCATCAATATTGAATAATGAAGATAACCGGAGGCGGTGTGAAACAAAAAAAACAAGTCAATAAACGAAGCCGTTCAGAAAACCGGACGGATTTCCAGACAATATAGATTGTATAGGTGAGCTGTGAAACGCAGATGTAGTGGTGCTAGTGGTTCGTTTTTCAATATCTCACTAACACATTAGCATTCTAACATGCTACAATAACATCATAAAAATTACCGATGGATTCAGAAATGCAAAAAAAAAAAAAAATGGTCTTTGCTATCCGTATATACCAGAATCATATGATCCATCAGAATCCACCAGTTATAAGCATTCTTTCTTGTGTCTTCTGTGTTCAATTCATCTGTCCTATTCAATGATTCACCTATATTCTTCTACAGGTAATATTTAGATAAAACCAGAAAGTTTAGAATTTTCAAAGAAA